ACAATGAAATGTTAGCAAACTCATGATTGAATGAGAAGTTTCTACATGTATTGGTCTAGTCCAAAATTAGATGGAATGATCCTAGGACGATGATTCATCTTAATGAATAGTTTATTAAGCATGAAAAGAATACTATTCCTTCAATGGTGGCATAATAAAGAACTAAGAGTTAGTAGGAACGTAATTGATGTCATTGAATCTTAGGTAGATTTCTCTGGCACTCTGTACAAATGTATATTTATTGATGTTCTATCACCTGTCTATCCATGTATGCCTATTTTGTCCAGCCCTGCGGCTCAATCTCAGGGTCTGGATATTTCCTGGCAGATTCATTGGCTAGAGGTTGCCGTGTTGACACACCCATTCAGGGTCTGAATTGGGTCTGCCAGGACCAGAGGTCAGATCCCAGCACTGCCAACAATTGGATCATGGAGTAAGAAGCTGAGTGTGATATCTATTTTCCTTTTCTCTGAGAGTCCTGGGTGTTAGACATGATGGAGAACACATCTACAAATCTAGATACTATGTGATGGGTTGTCATCAATATCATAAATGGAATGTGTGTCATCACAGTCAATAAAAAATCTCATATCTAAAATATACTTGTAACCCAAAAAATTAAATCCCCCAACAACAAATCCTCAAAGAAACAATTGCCCAATAAATAAGTGAGCAAAAGACTTAAAGAGAAACTTCTCTGAAGAGAAAAGAAGGATGGCCAATAGACACATGAAGAAATGCTCAACCTCCCTAGCCATAAAAGAAATGCAAATCAAAACCACATTGAGATACCCTCACCCCAGTTAGAATGGCTATAATCAAGAACTATAATAACACCGATGCTGGAGGGTATGTGGACTTCATTGTTGGTGGGAGTGTAATCTTGTTCAACCACTTTGGAAAGTAGTATGGAGGTTCCTCAAAAGACTCCACATAGAGCTCCCTTATTTCCCAGCAATCCCACTTTTGGGCATTTACCAAAATGATCACAAACATAACCATACTAAAGCTCCCAGCATGACTATGTTCATTGCAGCACTATTTACTATAGCTAAGTTATGGAACCAACCCAGAAGCCCCTCAGTAGATGAATGGATCAAGAAAATGTGGTATATATACACAATGGAATTCTATGCCTCCATCAGAAAAAATAACATTGCCCCATTTATTTAGGAAAGACGTGGAAAAAATTATATTAAGAAGTAAGCCAGGCCCAAAGAAACATAGCTCCCATGGTTTCCCTTATTTGCAATATCTAATATATATTTGAGTCAAGCAGAAAAGGTTAGATAAGGTGATATTAGGGAAATGAACCCTAAGATATGTACTCAAATGTTTTTTTTCTTTCATGTGATTGTTTCTAACACATTTATAAGATTATTTCTTTGTTGCTTTGTATGTCCCTCCCCCACAGTATAACCCTTGCTTTCACTGTATTTGATGTCGGTATAATTTGTGGAGGGGAAGGGGAAAAACAAATAGTTTAAATACGGATACAGGTGGACCCATTGCAACCATGAGATGTACAAGTCACTATGTCGAAAATGAATTTTACAACTTTGGTGCGGGGGGGGGGGGCTGAGTGGGAAGCAGGGAGGATTGGGTGGGGAGGGCGGGGGGAATGAGAAGTGATGGGTAGGGGAAACAAAGGAGGAGGCTACAATGCTTAATAAGAAAGGTACTCATTTTCTTGCCCATGTAATTGTAACCCCTCTGTACAGTATTTTCACAATAAAAAAAGGAAAATAAATGAATAAAACAATAATACAATAAATAACCACAACAAACAAGTCATGGACTGAACATCTCTATACGTAAGTACAAATCCTACCTTTACAATGTATATAAATAGAATTTTTCCAGGGCTGGGACTTGAATTCAGGCCTAATGACCAGGCCTTACTTTCTTGTCTTCAAGCATGGTGAGTTTCCCCTTCGTCCACAGTGCTTCAAAGTTACCCAGGCCTTAAGTTCAAATTCAAAGGTAGGAGAAACGGCATGAATTGCAAGACAGGGAGGTATTTTTGGTTTGTTTTTTTTTGCTTTTTTTTTTTTTGCCAAGTACGGTCTTGAACTCAGGTCATGGCAACCGTGCCTCAGCTTTCATCACCATTGGCTGGGGTGCAGCCACTGGAAACACAGCCTATCCTGGGATCCTAGAACTTCAGGCCTTGTGCAGGGGCAGAGGGGGTAATGTACAGAAAAAATGTGGCGGGATGGCGTTTTTACATTTTCTTCCGTGCACCTTGACCATCTGGGTCTGAGTGATCCAGTTCCAAAGGATACTTCACCTTGCATTGCTGTAGGCTTGCCGGCTACTGGGGAAGCCATAATCCCGAACAATGATTAGCCAGGCACCAGTGGCTCTCACCAGTCTCCTTGATAGTTACAAGGCTGTGATAGAAGGATCATGGTCAAAGTCACCCTAGGCAGGAAAGTCCTTGAGACCCCTGTCCAACCTCAATGCCAACAAAGCCAGAAGTAGAGCTGTGTGGCTCCAGTGGTAGAGGGCTAGTCTTGAGCAAGAACAGCTCATGGACTGTGCCCAGATCCTGAGTTCAAGTTCCAGGACTGGCAACAAACAGACATACACAACAATCTGTGCAGCCATCTGGCTAAAGCAGGTCTCCCTCTTGTGCCCAAATGGATTGGACAGAGTTTCCTGGTAAAGGGGCTGCTGTCATCTTGACTCTGTCCATTCTGTCTGTATCACAGGATTCCGGGCACACCCCCATTCTTTCATGGTTCTTTTTGACCAATGGGATACAAGAATAGTGGCCACGCCCACATTCCATGCTTCCCTCTATCACCAGGATTCCCTCTGTTGGTTGATACCACTACCAGCATTTGAGGAAGGTAGAGGTGGCTGAGTGGTGAGCAAGAGACTCCAGGTGACTTTGAGGTAGAGTAGGAAATGATGTCCTAGTCAGTGAGAGGATTTCCTAACCCTGGGAACATGGCCTGCCCAACTTCCCCTTTCGCGGCGCTCACATGTAATGAAATAATAAGAATCAATGAGAGAACTGTGGGCAAGAAACTGCACAAGAACACAGCAGTATCTCTGACAGACCTGAAACATTCAGGAAAACAAAGAACATGAAAAAGGGAGGGATCCCCAAGACAAACACCACTGGGGAGCCGATTGAATGGAGAGTCTGGCCAAAGTTGATGCAGACCATGAGCCTCCCTTGCTTTTGGACACAGTCACAGCCACCAGTGTCCAGAGTGTCAAGGGTCCCAATACCACCAAGGATCCACAGAGGTGCTACTGGCATGTGGTGCCCACCCTCGACCACAGAAAAGAAACCAGGCACTCTGTGCCAAGATCCAAACACTGAAGCAGGGAAAAACAGACCCACAGGATCAATGGAAGTAAGAGAGGGAGAAGATAGCCCAGATACATGCAGCACTAAAAATGGAGGTAGAGGTCCACAAGGCACCCATACAGCGGTTGGTTTCAGCAGAAAGTGATTTACAATGTGCACTGGCCCAAGTGCAGCAGGCCACTGATGACAGAGAAAGGGAGCACAAAGCTCTCACCAGCTGCCTGCAAGCTACAGAGTGGCGTGTGGCAGAGCTGGAGATAGCAGCTTCTGTGATCACTGCTGCAAAGAAGGAGACCAAAATGTATTTCGAACAGCTGAATGATGTGACCCTTCAGCTGGAGGAAAATGCCTGAAGCTTTGATGACCTGGAACAAGTGAACACAGAGTTGCAGGAGAAGCTGGAAGTGCTGGGGATACAGAGGAGCAACATGAAGAAGAGAATATGCAAGTTCCAACAAGCATTGGAGGGGCGTGAGGTACTGAAGAGACTACTGGACAACCTGAGCTGGCTGGTGACCACATCGAATCTGGAGAGAGACACCTTGATGGAGAACCTGAGCATTAAGGGGTCCGCATGGAAGGAGGAGGCATGGCAGCTGATGCAATGGGTGAACCAACTGACAGAGGAGAAGGAATGAGGGGCAAGGCATGTGTTGGACCTAGGAAATGAGCTGTGGGAACTGAGAAGGAAGCCGGTAAAGCCACGGGCCACCCCAGGGACCATCTCAGGCCAAGCAGCAGCTGCAAGCACAGGCCTACAGCAAGCAGATGGAATTGAAGAACCTGGAGGAACAACTTCACATCCAGGCCCAGGAAAACCAGAGTCTCTGTCTTCAGAACGTGGAGCAGCAGGAGCAACTGCAGAGACTGGAGGAGAAAGCCTAGGATCAGCAGGAGATCCCTGAGACCCCACGATGAGCATGTGTGTGGGATGGACAACCGGAGGAAAAGCTGGCCCTGCTGTGGGATGCTCTCCACAGGGTGAGCAGTGAGAAGGAGGAGCTCACCAGCATCCTGGACTCAGAGCAGCAGATGAAGAAACACCTGTGGGAACAGTAGGACTGCTCAGAGAAGAAGATAGAGAAATGGATAGTGGTGGCTGAGAGAGAGAGCCAAGCAGCTCAGGAGCAGCAGGAACAGTCACTGGGCCAGTGCAGGAGTTCAGAGCCTCCTGTGAATGGCACATTGTCTCCAATGAGCGACTGTGCTCTGAGAAGGAGTTCCTACAACAGCACTTAGAGAGGCAGACCCAGCTGCTGGAGCAGCTGAAGCAAGTGAAGGGCTCAACAAACTGAAGGGACCAGGTGGTGTCCCCGAAGTGGCAGGACACTCTCAAGTGCCTGGAAGCCACCAGATCACAGGAGGAGTGCCTGCAGGCCCTGATGAGCTTCCTGGCTTTCCCTGTGCAAGGTGAAGGCATGAGCCCTTGAGAAACAAAAGGTAAGGAGGAGAATCTGCCCCCCCAATGTGACCATCACAGAGGATGGAGATGTCCCCCAGACCAAGAGTGACATGGCTCTGAGAGTGCTCTTCGAGGATGAGATCCACAAGGGGAAACTCCTGACACAAGAATGGCGGGCCAGCTTCAGACACCCCTGGGCCAACCCAGCAGCTCATTGCCAGACTGAGCTGGAGCCACAGGCCCTCAACCCCATGAGCTGCCACCACAGCATGCATGGGGATGGAAAATGGGACACGGGCATCTGAGAAGAAAATCTGCTTCGTCCAGGACCTGCATGATGAGGTGGACTTCCAGAGTCCAGCAGGTGAGCTCCACCATTGATGCAGCCACCTGTCGGCACACATCCAAACTATCAAGGAGTCCCTCATGGTGTGTAAAGAGCAGATGTTGGTCCTGAATGAGCTGTGTTGGGAGAAAGCCCAGTGGATGCACTGGCTGTACCAGGAGAAGATCAAGAAGAGGAGATGCTGTGGGAGCTGCTGTCAGTCCTGGCAAGGGAAGGCACAGACAGCAGTCTCCAGATGCCAGCACAGGCTGAGCCCCCCCGCCAACACTGCTTCAGATGCAACTTGATGACAGCATGGAGACTGCCAGAGGAGAGTTCAGGGTTCCCGACCCCACAGTGGACTCCCTCAAGGAGTAGGTCCTGTCCCAGATGCCCCACATCCAGATCCGCCCACAGCTCCCAGGCTCAGGGGAGGAGTGCTCTCTCACTTTCTCCTGTAGATTGATGTGGATGATGACTCTCTGTATGACATACTGACTCTCAAAAGCCTTGGCAGCCACCAGAAGTAGGTGACCAAGTGGCTTTCTCTCAGGCCTCCATCTGCTGGGCAACTGGAAGGTTAAACTGGGGGTAGGGTAGAGCAGAGGCTGCAGGGAGTTGGCCCAAACTCAAGGGATATCTAATGGCCCATTGGTGGCCAGGAAAGAGGCCTATGTTTTGCTTATCACAAACAATAAATTGTTTTCGAAGCAAAAAAAAAAAAAACAGCCTTAAAACAAAGATTTGTTCTTCCAGCTCTGGGGCTTGAACTCAGGGCCTGGCCACTGTCCCTGAGCTCTTTTTGATCCAGGATGGCCCCACCTCTCCTTCCAGCTTTTTCTGTGTGGAATAGAACCCAGGGCTTCAGGCATGCTAGGCGAACACTCTACCACTGAGCCACATTCTCAGCTAGGATGATTCTCCCCCCTCCCAAACCCAAATGACCATTCCTCAGATAAATAGGAAGTAGGGGCTAGGATGAATATGAAGCACAAGTCTGGTTCACACCAAAAATTCCCCTGCCCCCTCTACCCACACCCTTTGTTGCAGTTTCTCTTCTACCATTGAGGGATGAGAGAGGGAGAGGGGAGTCCCAAGAGAGTACCAACAACAGTGGCCCCCTGAGTCCCACATCCTCCCCCACACAAGTGGTCCTCCAGATTCTGATCTTACCTGACTCAATGTAGAGTCTACACTTTCTCCCTACCACTGCAAGGCTCAGGATGAAATAAAGGTCAGCCCTGGCCTCAGCCCACACCCAAGGTGGAAGCTCTTAGTCCCAGACCTACTTCCACCTCTGACTGACCCTAGTTAGGCCAGACCCACCATTCACCACTATGTTGGTGGTGATTACCTCATGGATGGATTCCAGGAAGAAGGTCTATGGCAAAGAGCAGAAGCAGCAGGGTGAGCAGGGCGTAGGAAGTGGGGAGATTGCTCTGGGATCTTCCTTGGAGCCCTCCCATCCAGCCAGACCCATGCTGACCCAAAGCATGGACAAGGGCAGGGGGTGAGACAGGATGGAGGAGCACAGGACTAAAGGAGGTACTGCTTTGTCTTAGAGGACTTGATTAATTCCAATTATAAATAATTCCAATTATATTTGGCCCATGCCAATCCCAAAGACAACATGCAATGCCTCTCCGTGTTGTTGTTGGCCATGAGCGCTGTCCCTGAGCTCTTTTTCTCAAGGTTGGCACTCTACCACTTGAGCCACAATGCCACTTTTTTTGTCTGATGGTTCATCGATAAGAGTCCCATACACTGTCCTGCCCAGACTGGCTTGGCACCGTGATCCTCCAGATCTCAGCTTCCTGAGTAGCTAGGATGACAGGCATGAGCCACCAGTGCCCAGTATGGGATGCCTTTTGAAGGCATCTTGGCGAGTCTGTAAAGGAGCCCCAAAGGGCCTGCATAGACCATGACCCAATCAAGGAGCTGGGATGGGGGAAGGCTGAACTTCTGTTCCTCCAAAATTGAAGATGCCAGGTGATGTTGTATGCACCAAACACCTAGGCCAGTAGCCACCATGCTTAGTGGGGGAAAAAGTAGAGAATACCCAAAGACTGCAGTGTAGAAATCTCTGATTTTGCATGCATGTGGTGTGTGTGTGTGTGTGTGTGTGTGTGTGTGTGTGTGTGTGTGTGTGTGAACTCAGGGCCTAGGCTCTCTCCCTGAGTTTTCTTGCTCAAAGCTTGTGCTGTGCCACTTGAGACACAGCCCCACTTGCTTTTCAATGGTTAATTTTAGGTAAGCATCTCAAGGATGGCTTTGAATCATGATGGGGGCCCCAGGGAAGCAAGAGTAAACACAACTGGCAAGTACTATCCCTATGGTGGGCCACTCCTGCCCCCTGGTGCCCACACGTGGAACATGCAGTCCCATGCCATTATCCTCTAGAGTTCAATTTAGGCAAGTTACTAGGGAAAAGCTGACTTTTGCTCACCCTGTTTGCTGATGCCAGAGCAGGCCTGTTCCACCCTAGGCCAAGAGAGCTCCAGGAGGCCCAGCTTTCCAGGGACACAGGGAAGGGAGAGGTCAGCTCCAGGCTGAGCTAAGAACCTTTGCCCACAGATACCCCAACTTAGCCTTACTTATCACCATAAGACCTGTTAAAGAACAACCCAAAAAACCAAAATTGGATCTGTGCCTCCAAGTGGTAGAGCTCTAGCATTGAACCAAAGAGCTCAGGGACAGGGCCCCCAAGCTTTGAGTTCAAGACCCATAAAACACAGCTTGTATAAATGTGAACTAGTAGGATTTGTGAAGTGTTTCTGAAGAATGGTGATACTGAAGAAAGCACCCTAATTCTAATGACAGCTGAACTTGTGACATACAGCTATGTGCTGAGTCCTTCAAAGGGCGCTATTTACTGGGTCCTTCCCTCATGGGAGTTATGGGCTGAGTCCTCCAAAAGGTGCTGTTTGCTGAGTCATCCCAAAGGGTGCTATGTGCTGAGTCCCTGAGAAGAGTGGGCCATCCTGGGTTTTTTAAAGGGGGCTTTGTACTGAGTCCATTACACAATGTATTGTATGCTGAGTCCTTCAAAAGGTGTGGTGTGCTAATGCATCCTAGAGGGTCCTGCTATGTGTGAGCCCTTGAGAAGAGAGGGATGAGGTGTATTTTGTGTGCTGTGTGCCAAGTCCTTTATATAGGGTGCTCTGTACTGTCCTTCAAATGGTGCTGTGTGCTGAGAGCTTCCACAGTGTGGTATGTGCTGAGTCCTTCAAAATTGTTCTGTGTGCTGAGTTTATCAAAGGAAGCTGTGCACGAGGTGTTTTACACAGCGTTCTTCAACACAGCATGTGATCAGTCCCTGGGAAAGAGTGCTATGTGCTGAGTGTTTCAAAGTGTGCCATGCACTGAGTCCTTTACACTATGGGCTATAGACTCCCTCCTTCAAAGGGTGCTGTGTGCTAAGTACTCTACCCAGCATTCTTTATGCTGAGTACTTCAAGGGAGCTGTGTGCTGAGTCATTTACACAGGGTGCTTTGTGCTGATTTTGGAAGTCTGCTGTGTGCTAAGTCATCCCAAAGGGTGCTATGTTTGAGTCCTTGAGAGGTGGTTATCCCCTACACTCACACACACACACAAACACAAACACACATACACACACCAGTGTCACCATGCACCTGCTTGGTGTATGGAGTCGAGGTGGATGGAGGAGAGTCTCCTGCAGGGGTGGTGCTGAGGGGATATTCGATTCCCTGTGCTGGTACTGGGGGTGGGGTGTAGTGCTGAGCTGAGGTAAGGCTGCAATTGCCATGGTCTAGAAGCCTCAGGGCCCAGTCAGGGCTGCAATTGTGGCCAGGGGTGGGGTGCGGGGCCCAGGGGAGGAGGGGGCGGGGCCCAGGAGCGCACATTGTTGGCAGCAACCACAAGGATCCCAAGGGGGCAGGGGTGTGTGTGCAGCAGGGGCGGGGTGGCCCAGGAGAGGAGTGTGGGGCCAAGAGAGAGCTGGGAGAAGAGCGAGCACTAGTCCTAGCAGCCATGGAAACGGGCTTCAGTGGCTGGCGGCTGCTCTGATCATAGTGTGGGTCCTGGCCGGGAGCGCAGAGCATGCGGAGCCTGCATGGCAGGCACATCGCCACACGCAGCCCCTCGGAGGTGCCCTGCCCTGAGTCTGAAGTCCCGGTGCAGGGAGCACGAAGAGGCAGTGGCTGCTGAGTTGGCATCGGCAGCCACAGGTTAGGAGGCCGCTGAGGCTGTGGTGGTGGCTGAGGGGGAGCAGAGGCTGTGCGCAGCTCTAACATGCGCCCGCGCTGCCTTTCAAACATGGCGGTGCTGGCTCGGACCCACGGAGCCTCTAGCAGTCACCTGGCAGAGCTGTTGCACCACTGGCCTCCTTGTGGCCCTGACTTGTGTTCAGCCTTCGGTCCTCAGACTCCCGGCACGCACCCGGAGTTTCAGCCTACAGCTTCTCCCAGCAGCACACATGAGTGGCCGACGTGGGCTCCCGCACCCCACAACCCCCCATATAAACCCCGTCCCCCACTCTATCCTTCCTCCCCACCCTCGCGGACCCGGACCCTTGCCTCTTGCCTCCCCCTCCCTTCCTGCTTGCGCCTCCCCCGTGACCCACAGTCTGTCCTGGCTCTGCCACAAAAGCACCTCAGGGGTGGGGGGTGGAGGTGGGTGTCCACCAGGGGATCCCACCCTCATCCCTAGTGGCCAGTGTTCCAGGAAAAGGGGAGCTGCAGGGATGGGGAGGAGGGGGCACCACAGAGCCCCTGGCCTGGAGCAGTGGGAGCCACACAGCCTTGCATCTGCACCCTTCCTCTCCCTGGTGGGAACCTGGTAGCTTTAGTCAGAGGTGGGGACCTGCACCTCCACACCTGCCTTCTTGGTTCTTTTCCCTTTTGCTGGGGAAGGGGGTGTTGGATGCAGAAGATAGACCCCGTTGTTGTGTGAGCCCTTGTCTTCTGTGCTCAGTCACCCTTTCACCTGAAACATTCCCAGAAGAGCCCACTAGAGAGGTGAGGGCACTGGGGTCAGATAGAAGGTGGGTATTTGGGAGAAAACACACCCCCTCTGACACACATACAACCGGTCTGTACCCCCAACCCCAGCATTCAACAGTTCTGACTGGGTGATCACATTTCCCAGTTCTGCCAGCTTCTGCTAGTGCTCCCAGTCCATCTGGTCTCCTTGTACTCCCCAAGAATTTGCCAAGTTGCCCAGAAGTATGTAGGAAGGAGGTAGGGAGTGCAACCATGTATATAGCCCTTAGGACCCCATCAAAGTCCCCAACAACACCCCCATCCCAGGTCAGACACCTTTCTGGAGGCATCTGCTTTGTTTTCTGTCCAGGCTCTGAAAAGCCACATGTCTCAGGACTCTTTCACTCAGCATCCTGGCCTAGGGTTTTGGTGAATGTGGAATCAAGGCTGGTTGTTCCCAATGGGAAGGGTCTGGCCCTGGAGAAAGGGAGAGTCAGGGTGGTTCTGCATTATTAGAGCATTGTTCCCCTTGGGTGAGATCCCTGGTTCTGACAAGGGAACCCCTGTGCTCCAGCTAGTACATTGCCCAGATGAGAAACCAACAAACTCAGGAGAGACACTGCTCTGAATCTGTGTGTGTGTGTGTGTGTGTGTGTGTGTGAGAGAGAGAGAGAGAGAGAGAGAGAGAGAGAGAGGGAGATTATCTTTCTCATTGTACAGTCACCATGTCTAAAAAGAGCAAAAGCATTTTATTTGTGTGTATGTGTATATTTGTTATTCTTTTTCAATTAATGCCCAGTATGAGCCCAGCCATAATTTTTGTTTTCTCTTTCACCGTTTCATGGCTCCTTTAGAGAAGGTTTCAGTAGATGTTCCTTCCCACCACTTTCTTCCCCTTTCCTGCAGCCCACTGTAGCTGGTGGGTCTGCATGTGTCTCCCCTAGGAGGCCTGTGTGAACCACAGACCAGAGTGGACACCTGCCCTTCTGTCTTTAGCCAGAAGGCTCATGAGGCTACTGTGACCACAGCCGCACTCTTCCAGCCAGACAGTCTGCTCTGGTGTGTATAGTTGGAGCTAATTCAAGGTTGGGAATGAATCTGCCAAACATAAATAGAGAATGAGATGGGAGGTAGTAGGACAGGGTCTGTGAATCTAGGAGGGTCTGGGAAGTGACGAACGGTGTGACATAGCAGATGGTTCACCACAACTGAGGATGAGAGGGGAATCTTACCCAGGGTATTGATGGTGTACGTGGACATCTGGGCAGGGGGCTCCGGGCGCCCAATGGTGACATGGATTCCCTCTAGGGGCAGTGCACTGGTGGGTAGTCCTCCCTGGAGTCCTGCAGACTCCAATCTGTGTCCCTCCTGGGCTGTTTCCAGCTGGGCAATGGTAGGCAAGTGTGATCCCCCTGCTGGAGCCTACTTGGGATCAGGACATGGCAGTTAGCTAGGGCTCTCTGAATGCCATTTTCTGTAACCTACTGTAGGCTGTCTGGAAGAAAAAGGGGACCACTGACTTTGGAACCCTTTAAGTTTGATTGGGACAAGTTGAAATGCCAGCTTTTCCAGGGTTTTTCCTTAATGCTTGGGATACTGGGTCAAATGAGATGGACCATTTCAGCCACCAAACAATGACATTCAAGCAATACAAGCAGAGTTCCTGATCCAAATGGTCTCTTGCTATGAACGTCGTGCCTTGACTGCCTTTCTCCAACAGCTGCCAATTCTCCTCTGGCTCTCTCTAGGGTGATCACTACAGTAGAGAATGTTGTGGGGAGCAGAGATTGTGACCTTGCCATCTGCAGCCTGATCGCTGTGAGCAGAGACAATTCCCAGGACCTGTACTGGACTCTGGGAGATTCAGAGACCCAGGATGCCTCAGGGATCCTTTTCTGCAACATGAAACTTGGGGGTTGGATATGGTGGACCATCCTGTCTGGCCCTAGGGTGTGCAGAGGAGGCCCCTTGAGCAAGGCTTTTGCCTCACGACAATCTTGTTCACAGTTGAGTGGAGAATTGAGTGCAATTCAGCTTCTCAGTGGCTGGACAGAGATCTTTGAGAAGATAGGCATCCCAGAGACCCCAGAATACAGTGAGTACATCATGGCTCATGTCCTTGGAACGAAAACAGTTAAGTGCGGTGGCACTAGGAGGGTGGGAAGAGGGAGGAGGGAGAACTGTGGGAGAGCTACATCAGGCTTTGCCCCCACCCAGGATGCTTACCTGAATTAGATGGGACTTGTCTGTAGTATTATCATAGACAGATGCTCACTTATTTATCCAACAAAACCCTACAGTGTGTGCCAAGCCTGGGGGGAAGGGTGGCAGGTCATGCACGATGAAAGGTTCCAGTGCTGGTTCCACAGCACGTGAAGAAATCTTGGTTTGAGCTGGATGCTGGTGCCTTACACCTGTCAACCTAGCTACTAAGGAGGCTGAGATAGGAGGATTGAGCCTTAAGGCCCAGGCAGAAAAGCCTGTAAGACTCTTATGTCCAACTGACTACCAAAAAGAAAATGCCAGATGTGGATGAGTAGCTCAAGCTGTAGACTGTTGGCCTTGAATAAAAAGGCTCAGGGACAGCACCCAGGCTCTGAGTTCATGCCCAGGAGTGACACAAAGAAAGGAAAGAGAAAGAGAGGAGGGAAGGATGGAGTGAGAAAAGGAGGAAAGGAAGGAAGAAGGGAGCATGCAAGCCTTGGTTTGGAGTCCCTGGATCAAGGGAGCCAACCATTCACAATTAGGATGACAGGCATAGAAAAGCATCTTTGGCTGGGTGCCAGTGGCTCATGGCTGTCATCCTAAGTACTCAGGAGCTAAATCTTAGGATCACAGGTAAAAGCCAACTTGGGCAGGAAAGACCCTCAGACTATTCTCTCCAATAAAGCACCAGAAAACTGGAAGTGGTGCTGTGGCTCAAGAATTACAGTGCTGGACTTGAGCTGAAGAGCTTAGGGATAGCACCCAGGCCCAGAGTTCAAGCCCTACATACAACAAAAAGAGAGAAAGTAAAACATCTTTGCCTGCAAAGGACGGTGGAGGTGTGTTTGTGTGTATGTGTGTGTGTGTGGGGTGGTGGTGGTGGTAGACATTTAGCAACCTGCTCAGTCATCATTTTAGATGGATTGTCCCAAACTCGTAGTTCACGGCAGCCGATTCTTAACCACAGGTGAAACTCTGGGTTGGATGTCGACCATTGGACCTGTCTCCTCATGGGACAGTTATGAGTAAATAAGGGACTAGTACAGAGGGATCTCTGGAGCAGGGCCAGGCACAGAGGGAGCAGGTGTCAGATACAGTTCTCAACAATTCTGTGAGCATATGACAGGAAGTTGCCGGGAAAGGGCTCAGATGGGGTCTGTTATTAATCATGCAACAGGCCTGGGATTATGAAACAAAACATGGCTCTCTTTCATCATTACCCAGTCCCCATGAGGAAGGGATCCTTCACTCTATTCATTTTTCCAGTTGGGGAAAATGAGTCATGGAGAAACCAGGTGACCTACTCATGACCTCCAGCTGACAGGAAGCTTGGCCTGATTTCTCTGCCATGCTTTCTAGGACAGTCGGTGTTATTCAGTCCACTTCTTGCGGTGGGAAGTCCACTTCTTGGCATTTGTGGGGATTGAGTTCTGGGCCTAGATGCTATCCCTGAGCTCCTCAGAACAAGGCTAGTACTCTACCCCCTGAGCCACAGCATCATTTCCGGTTTTCTGTTGGTTCTTTGAGGATAAGAGTCTCAAAGATCTTCCTGCCAGGGCCAGCTAGGAGTCATGATCTTCACATCTCAGCCTCCTGTGTAGGTAGGATTATAGGTCTGAGCCACTGGCACCTGGCTTAAGTGTAATTCTGGACCTCTGTCTCTCTCTCTCTCCCTCTCTGTCTGTCTGTCTGTATATCCCTCTCTCTCTCCCTCCCTCTTTCTCACTCTCAGGAATTGGTTGAATGAGTACTGGAGGAGGTGCCCCAGCATCCCCATGTGGCTGGAACCCAAGGTGGCCCTCTCATTCTGGAGGTGGGCTGTGGGTCAGGAGCTGTTTTGCTCAGCCTGTTGAACCAGTCCCTTGAGGTAAGCCCCTCTGTGCCCCAGCTAGACCGTGATGGTTATTCATTGTCCATCCCTTTAGTCCTTCACCACATCACTCTGAAGGTGTCACCTTGTCCCCCTGCCCAGCACAATCCCGGGCCTCTGACCTATACCCTCACATATCTGACAAGACCCTGGCTATAAGACAATAAAAACACTCCATGTGTAATACCCTTGGCAGGGGAGTGTCATTTCAGTTTCAGAGGAAAGACCCAAGACCTGACACCTCCCATTGGACATTTGTTCTTGTGACAGAGCCAAGTCATTGCTGTGGATAAGGAGGAAGCCTCCATCAGACTTACCCAGAACAATGCTCAAAGATAGGTAGGTTGTTGAAGTATCAAACCCACTCATGTCTGCTTCCTACTCCCAACAAGGAAGTGTAGTATGGGTTGCACGGCCATGGGCCTAAGGGATTATAAATGGATGGTGGTGGTCAGGAGCTCATGGCTCCCACCCATCATCCTGGCTCTTTGGGAGGCTGAGGTCTGATGGTTGTGACTCAGAGCAGCCCGGGAAGGAAAGTCCAGGAGATTCTTATCTCCCATAAACCACCTCCCTCCCCCAACCCTGACACAAAAAAGCCAGATGTGCTGTGGCTCAACTCGTAGAGCCTCAGCCTTGAACAAAAGAAGCTAAGGGATAACACCCAGGCCCTGAATCCAAGCCCTAGGACTAACACAATCATAAAATAAATGAATAGTGTACACCCTTTAGCTGACTACCAAGAAAGATGTATTCAGTTTTCTCGCTGGTACATTCAGCCAAATGTAAGGGGATACTTTTGATGTTCCCCCAACCTTCTCTTTCTCTCCTTTATCTGTCCAGGCTTAGGATGCAGGACAGAATTCAGATCATCCCCTTGGATGTTACCTTAGGTACCCTCTCCCATCCACCCGCCTTGGGTCAAGATCCTGGATGCACTCCCTGCTGGGAGGATGAGGCACCACAGAGATGAGGGTAGGTATCCCCAACACTCACACACACAAACACACAAACATCCTTAAGGCAACTCAGACTAGCCTTTTCCAAAGACACTTTATCTCCTTGGATTAACTGACCTAGGAGAGGAATTTGATCCCCTGTAACTGATTATTTTAACTTGGGCTTGCTAGTTGATAGGAGATTAACGTGAGCCAACAAAAACCAAAAAAAACTTTGGTGCCCATCACCTGGGGTTCAGGCTCATGCCTGTCATCCTGGCTACTTGGGAGGCTGAGATCTGAGCATCACATTTTGAAGCCAGCCATAAGCTGGAAACCCCATGAACATCTACTCTCCATGGAAACACCAAAACGCCAGAAGTGGAGCTGTCTCTCAAGTGGTAGAGCACCAGTCTTGAGCAATAAAACTCAGAGAGACAGTTGCCAGATCCTCAGTTCAAGGTCACAAAAAGAAATGGTCCTGTCTTGTTGCCCACATATTGCCCAGGCCTCCAGCCCCCTCTCACGGAGTGTGATACAACACCTGCCCCTGGGTGGAGTGTAAGGGCTTTCAGAAATCCGGTGGTGGAATCCAGGCCTTCCCCTTTGTGCATTCTCAACCCACACTGGCTGGAAGGCAGAGCCTGACAAGTCTGGCAGCCTGCACAGTGGAGAGTCTCCAGCTATGCCAAGGTGATCAGAAAGGGCTTCTTGGAGACAACATAGCAGAGCATGTTCATTTCCAGCCAGGGCTGCTGGTGAGAGACTTGGTATAGATATGCGAGACTGTCCCAAGACAGGGCTGAGGGGTCACAGGAGAACAGCTATCCAGGGCTGGCATTGCATCTTAGAGGTAGAGGGCTCGCCTAGCACACAGGAAAGCATGGGTTCAATTCCTAAGTCCTGCATACACAGAAAAAGCTGGAAGTGGCACTGTGGCTCAGGTGAAAGAGCACTCCTCTGGAGACAAAGAAAGTCAGGGACAATACCGGGGCCCTGAGGTCAGGCCCCAGGGCTGTCACCATAAAGCAGTTCTCTCAGGGACCTTGGTGACAGGTTGATGGCTATGCCCTGAAGCTCTTAGTGTATTCATCCGTGCTTTGTGTCTTCTTTGACAGATGGGAGCTGGACACTCCTGCCCTGTGCACCCCTGTACCCAGTTTTCAGCAAGCCTCCCAAGGTCTTCCACCAGGACATGGAGCAGTTGGCCCCGGAAGTCCTCAGGTATCAGTTTGGTGGGGTATGGGGACATAGGGCAGGCCCCAGAACTCCTAGTGGGTCTGATCTGCCCTGGAAGACCAGGCAATCCAGAGGAGGTAGATGGGAGCTTAGAGGGGATTAGTGATGTGGAGTGGGCCCTTTAATCCCCATGGCCACACCCAGATTCTAGCCTCCCTTTGCTGTCTCTGAGGGAGGTAGAGGGGTGTCTAGGTGGTATCTTCTAGAGGAGGACTAGGTGGAAATTCTGAAGGACTAGACACCTTAAGCCATGAGCCGCTGGCTCATACCTGTTATCCCACATCTGTCATCCTGGCCACTTGGGAGTCTGAGATGCAGTGGATCTCATTTCCCAGCCCTGGCAGAAAAGTCCCTCCAGAGCCTCATCTCCAATCTCCAACCAGAAGTGGCACTGTGGCTCAAGTGGCAGAACACTGGCCTTGAGGAAAATTAGACATCAGGGACAGTACCCAAACAATGAATTCAAGGCTCTCAACCAAAAATAAAACAAAAACAAAAAACCAAACAGGAAAGAAAGATACCCCTTCCTTGCTTGCAAGAGATAGTGAAGTATTGGGGTGGTTGAGGTTGGGAGACCAGATGCTGGCCTCATTGTACAAACATTTCTAATACCTCCCCAGGTTTACCCCAGTGTGAAGCCATAGCAGGGTGGGTGGTGCCTTACCAAGAACTCCAGAGGTCGTGGCTTGTCGCAGGCAGGGAGTGGGTGAATCGGAGCTGGGGTGGGATGGTAGTGTCAATTATATGCTCTCCATCCATGGAAGAAGGTTTTGGATGCTGGTGACCAAGTCTGAAGTGTACGGTTACATTTGGTTTGTGTCTTGATGAGTTGGGTTTTCCCTTGGTATAAGAAGTTGACTGCAGAGGAGGCTACAATATTTGATAAGAAATGTACTCCTTATCTTGCCCATGTAATTGTAACCCCTCTGTACAGTATTTTCACAATAAAAAAGAAAGAAAGAAAAGAGCTGAAGAAAAAAAGAAGTTGGGTGTAGCTGGGCGCTGCCAGTGGCTCACAACTGTCATCCTAGTTACTCAGGAGGCTGAGAGCTGAGGATAATGGTTCAAAGCCAGCTTGGGAAGGAACGTCTGTGAGACTTTATCCTCTATGAACCACCAGAAAATAGGATGTGGTGCTGTGGGTCCAGTAGTAGAGCACACACTTTCATCTGAAGAGCTGAGGGCCTTCTGGCAGGCCCAAAGTTCAAACCCCATAACCTGCAACCAAACAAAAGGTAGCTGAATTTTCTGCATAACTATGTCTACAGTAGAAATGCCATGATGTGTTGTGAACTATTCCAGACCTGTGAGAGGCTCTGAGTTTTGTCTACAGTTGGTCTGATGATGGTAGTGCCATCGTCTCTGGGGTGGCATATTCAGGGTGCTCAGGGACTGCTGAGGCTTTGGGCTACCAGTGTGTGTGTCTGTCTGTTCATGTGTTTTGTCTGTGTGTCTGTGTCTGTGTGTTTGGATGTAGAAGACCTGGGCCTTGAACTCAAGGTCTAGGTGAAGTTCCTATGCTTCTGTGCTCAAAGCTAGTGCTCTAACACTTGAGCTGCATCTCCATTTCTGGCTATTTGGTGGTTCATTGGAGATAAGAGCCTCAGAGACATTTCTGTGCTGGCTGGCTTTGACCTCAGCCTCCTGAGTAGCTAGGATGACAGGTGTGAGACAGTAGTGCCACATTTGTGTGTGTGTGTGTGTGTGTGTGTGTGTCCCTCATCTTTCCCTGTCCCCTTCAGGGTGCCTTTCTGCCTCTTTCTGACCTCGGATGGTGCCCCTCCTCCACACCGACTTTGTCTTTAGCCTCCTATCAGGGTCTACAATGAGTGCTAAATTGCCAGAGACCTGAGTTCAAGCTTTTCTTTGGGGCCCAAGTCCAGCTGTCCAAATCTTTGGCCGCCTGCAGGGGATTCTGAGTCAGCTGGGCCAGCTGCAATAGAGTCTTGCCTGTCTCTGGGTGGGGAACTCAGACATCGGATGTCCTGCCCTTTTCCTCAGCTAGACCTCTGGCTGCATGTCCTTCTCAGCAAGCTGGAAGTGAGTGGAGGAAGAGGGTTGCCGGTGGCTCTGGCCAACTCCAGCTTGAGAGCGGACTGAAGGCCGCCCAAGCAAGGAGGATTCCGGGCTGCATTGGAGGTGAGGCCAAGGTGGCTTGGAAATATCTATTGGTGTCTAGGAAATGTCCACGTACTTTATTGCAGGCAAGTCTACCTTCCAGCCCCATCTGGGCCTTTCAAATCCTTCTAGAGATTTCTGGATGCCCAGAATACAGAGGCACAGACTTTAGATTCCAGGGCCAGGGAATTGGGGAAGGAGAGACTGGTATGGCCAATACCTCAATGTTCTGGGGCATTAGCCTTGACCTGGGTATGCCACCCTTGTGTACATTCACTTCTTAACCCAGAGCTGGCCAGAAACAGGCCACTTGTGGTGGTGCTGTGGAAGTGGCAGGAGTGGAAGTGAGATCTAGGATGACCAACATTTGGATTTATGGCCTGAGGGAAGGAGGGGGCAAAGGTTGTCTTAAAAAAAAACTCTTACAGCTGGAACTCAGGGCATAGGCACTGAGCTTCCTTTGTTCAAATCTAACATGCTACCACTTGAACCACAGCTCACATTTCATCTTTTTTAGTAGTTTAGTGGAGATAAGATTCTCACAATCTTTTTGGTCTGGGCTGGCTTCAAGCTGCCATATTAAGAGCTTAGCCTCTTAAGTAGTTAGGATTGCTGGTATGAGTCAATTGGCACCTGGTAAGGATGTTAGTGTGTGTGTGTGTGTGTGTGTGTGTGTGTTTACTAGGGCTTGAACACAGGGCCTAGGTGGTATCCTTTAGCTTGTTTGCACAAGGTTGGTGCTCTACTACTTGAACTACAGTAGCTCTGCTTCCCAGCTTTTTGGTGATTCATTGGAGATAAGAGTCTGCCCAGGCTAGCTTTGAATCTTGCTTGATCCTCATGTGTCAACCTTGAGTAGCTAGGATTATAGGCATGACCCACTCCCATCCAGCTTTAAGGATGTCTCTTCATACTGTCTTCTGTTCTAACAGCTGTCTACTTGCCCTGGCCTAGATCTCTGATCTCTATATCAGCTCCCAGCAGCCCTTGACTGTGTGGAGAACATAAAGCTCAAACCTGTCAAGCATCCTATTTCTATGTCTTCAGGGGAGGGTACGTTTCCTCTGAAGCCTGGAGGAGTAGAGGGAGGAGAAGGAAGGTTAGCTGTACATGGTGCTAAGCTGGGAGAGAGGTACACTGTCTTAGCCAAGAAGGAAAGTGTGGCCAGATGTTAATAGCTCATGCTCTCATATTCTTAGCTTCTGAGGAGGCTAAGATCTAAGGATTGGCATTCAGAGACAGCCCAGCTCACTTTTCTTGTTTTTTTTTCTGGTATCAGTGGGATCTTTTTTTGTGTGAAAATACTGTACAGAGGGGTTACAATTCCATGGGCAAGATAATGAGTACATTTCTTATCACCAGCTCACTTTTCTAAAGTTTTTGAGACTTCTCTTCCAATAACCACCTGAAAGCTGGAAGAAAAGCTGTGGCTCAAGTGGTAGAGTTGCTAGCCTTGAATGAAAAAAGTGAGGGACAGAGCCCGGGTCCTGAGTTCAAGCCCTAGTACCAAGATGTGCGCATGAACACACAAACACACACACACACACACAAACACACAGAGGAAGGTGGTAATGATGAGTTGAGCTAGAACTGGGGGCAGTCTGGAGGCACAGTCATAGTGAACTCTCGATACGTAAGTTATTTCTCCCCAACTCCTTCTTGGGCTGAGAGGTCTGGGCCATGGAAGTAAGTTCCATGGCACATGCACATACATTCATGCATAGGGTACAGGACCAAGGGAAGAACACGATGGATGCTCGTTTATACTCGGTGCATGATTGCAGACCTTCATCTGCCGCTGAGCATTGGTGAGGAAATCAGGGCTCTGAGCCCTGGGACTCCTGGGATAGCCACTGCTGCAAGCAGCAGCCAGCCAGCTGTGGGTTCCTGAGCCTACAAGTCTTTCATGAGCCCAACACAACACCTACCCAAGCTGTGCCTGACAAATTTGCCCCCGTGAGTAGGCATTACCTGCTGTGCCATCTTGCAGCTCTTGCCCCTCCTGGCCCAGAGACCTGGTCTGAAATGCTGATTTACTGCCCAGATCCACACTGCACCCATGACAGATGCCATTCTGATGTCATTCTGGCCGATTTCCTCCAAGCCCCAAGGCTAGACTCTTCTCTGAAACTTTGGCCCGCTCTGTAGGCAAAGTCTCCCAACGAGACTGCTTTCAAGACTTGTACGACACCTAGATATTCGGAGACGCTCAGGGGCCCACTGGAAATTACTCTGCCTAGAGCCACAGAGTAAGGTTCAAGCAGGCCAGGTGTTGGTCATGGTGCTAGAACTGTGGGCCTGGGCACTGTCCCTTCAGCTCTTCAGCTTACCACTTCAGCCACAGTACCATTTCCAGTTTTCTTGTAGTTCATTGGAGATCAGAGTCTCCCAGCCTTTCCTGCCTGGGCTGGCTTTGAACCATAATCCTCAGATCTCAGCCTCCTGAGGAGCTAGGAGGATAGGCATGAGCCACCAGTACCCAACTGATTTGGACTTTCACCAGAGTGAACTAGGAACTCCTGAAAGCTTTTCTTTATTTTTTATGTGCCAGTACTGGGGCTTGAACTTAGGGTCTGGGTTCTGGTCTCTTTAATTTTTGCCTCAAGCCTGGCACTCTACCACTTGAGCCACAGCTCCATTTCTGGCTTTTGGTAGGAGGGTGAGCTTCCACTTTACCCACAGCAAAATAGAGTTACCCAGGCCCTGATTTCAAATCCTAGGTATGGCAGATAAAATGTCCCAAATTCCAAGCCAGAACCTTAATGTTTTTGGGGGGAGCAGGCACAGGGCTTGAACTCAGGTCATCACAAATCTGCCTCAGGCTTGATTACCCTAGGCGAGGGTGCAGCTTTTACACCCACAGATGA